GGCCCCGTAGTAAACAAAAAAAAAATCGTTCGGTCAACCTCGAAAAGGCAGATTTATGATAGGTAGTGGCATTTAGGTTATGATAGGTAAGATGTGTTTATATTCACACAAAATTAAAATTAATTAATTAGTACGTATTTGACTCAATAAAACTTAAATAAGCAAATCATCACGTTTGGTAGGGTCATTGGCATGATGCGATATTGAACATGTGCTGGATGGACGTTAATAATACCGATACTGACAATTCTTATTGATTAGAGTCATTCAATTGAAATAATCAATATAAATTTTTAGCTATATAATAAAGGGTTATGGAACTTGTATTGGTGAATATTCACCAATATAAGTTCAATAACCCATATTATTGTGTGAAAAGGGTATTTGTGTAAACACAGACAGTGAAATTTTGTGGGTTTCATTCAATGTTATCTTCCTCGTAAACAATAGGTTTTCAACACGTAGTTGACTTTTCATAAATACACAAAACGAACCATTTTTTTGCTACCATCTGGAAAAACAAATAAAATTCTTGCAAAAGAATTAAATCACACTAGCATCAAAATATTCATTTATATAATTCATTCAGAAATAAAGAGTAATTATTTAAAGAGTGTTAAATTATATTGATCATTTTCACATTTTACATTACATATCATCGAATTAAACACGTACATCAGTTTGAAAAAAGCAACATATGTTTCGCCTTATTCAAAAATAATATATTTTGGTCAAATGTCAAATAAAATCAAACACCTAAATAAAAAAAAAAGATGTAAAGTAATACATTAGTATCTATAAATCGGCAATGCAGTTTTAATCATTGTCATAAAAAAGACAAAATCAACACGAAATGCAACAGGTTTTATTGATGAACATCAGGTGCTATCAATGATGTTTGGTGAAATAAAGGCACTTTATATTTTGATAATGTAGACGTAGAACTTTGTTTTCCCTACCTACTCGTCTAGGATAAGGCTGCGCATCACATAATACAGTGTAACAGCTGCAGTAACTTCTTTGACCTACGTAGATATGTCGTCATAATAGCTAATGACGTCGTTACAGCTAACTTTAGATGACATGACGGGGAAAGTGTCATTCCTGTCATATAACACTCAGAAAACTCTAAACGTTGATGTTGAATTAAGATGTCTGGATTGCTGATGAAAGCTTCAGAGTTCTGTTATGATATTGAACCTTTGCAATATATTATCGTTATTCCTTTCTCCTGTCTAATATACAGAGTATCCAAGCAATGACAAAAAGTAGAATATAAAATGCTCCCCGTCACATATTCGTCCACACAGGAAGAATTCATGATTCATGTCGTCTATCTGAATCGTGCTGGGGGGGGGGGGGGGGGTATGTTAAATAGCCTATTTTGTACAAATTGCGATGAAGAGTGGAAAATGTATGAGTTGAAGTCCAAACTCCAATGACTTCATATAGAATACAATTAATTTACTTACGAGGGGTGATCAAAAAGTTCGCAAACTAATTGAATTACTTCCATAAAACAAATAAAATTAGGTTTCAGTGTTCATCATTTTGTCAAGTAGTCCTCTCCAATATTAATGCACATTTGCCTCCCTCTGCCCATGCGCGAATCACGTGATCCAGGCGGTCACGTGGCATGCTCTGCAGCCCTCTGTTCACAGAAACTAAAAGATTCTTCCAAGTCTTATATTTCTTACCATTCAAGTTATTTTTTTTATAACAGGAACAGTCCATTTGTCAGAAATGGTCAAATCTCGGCTATAGGATGGGTAGATAAGGATATCCGTTCCTAGAATGAACATAGTCACCGTCACAACCCGAGTCATCTCGAGGGAACCTCGTTTATCCAATGTGTTGTTGTTGTGATGTTGTTTAACGTCCCTCTCGAGAATTTTTCACTCATATGGAGACGCCACCACTTGCCGGTAGAGAGCCGCAAATTTTGTCCTATACTCGGCACTTACGGCCATTGAGCAGTGAGGGATCTTTTTCGTGCCAGCACCTACTGCGACACGGGACCTCGGTTTATACGGTCTCATCCGAAGGACCGGTCTCCACGTCCTACAGTGGGATTCGAACCCGCGACGTAAGGAACAACTTCTTACTCCGCGACTCTAGAGCAGACGCTCTAACCACTGCGCTATCCAATGTGAATGAAGTATGGAGGCCTTCTTTTTATCATATCTAATATGATTAAAGTCTAAAGTAAATAATATTTCGGGATTTAATAATTATATTGTCAACATTTTCAATTTTTTTCTAATTGTAACTTGGCGATCTCTCATTACAATTTGCTCAACTAAGGATACATCTCTTCCCCATCTTGCTTTCACTGAACAACAGAACAAACATCATGTTAACCATCCCCCTTTCTTCACTAATACAATCAATCCAATTAATCCAATTAATTACGTTAATGATTGAACATCTGGAATCCTTCATCTTCCTGAACCTTGTAATAATTATCATCTGCCACTGCAAAGGAATTTCCAAGATATGCGTTAAACTTTAAAGCCATTTTTTGCGCGGGTAAGATGGAGTCAACCATTTTTTGTCATAAGTCACTCACATATTGATGTCATTTTCACATTGTGACGTCACAAAAATGGAGCAAAATATTACCTAACAACTGCTATTTATAGAACATGTGTATGACTATATGTCTGACAAATTTCATTTTGATCTTAATTGCGGTTTTGTAAATATAGAGACAGTTCGCAAACTTTTTTGATCGCCCCTGGTATGTAATACTGCACTTTCGTCAACTTTAGTTGGTATCAATTTTCGTGTATTTTGTAAAACGTACGTTTTCGAGGTTACGTAATTTCGTGTACAAAAGCATTGCCTATACAAATGAATATCATTATTTCTTAAGTCAATGAACATTTAGTTTCGTAGATCTGCTCAACCACGGAATCCTCAAAAATCGGTGGTCAACGAATATTGATGAAACCACAGTAAAACGTTCACAAAAAATTTTTATCACTTGTGTCGATGCATTTTTTGTGCAACATTTAGGACTCGTGATCAACAAAGTCATGTGACATACAAAAAATCTATTATTACAATACCTGGTAAAACTCTTCGAATATTTCCTGTACATGTATACTTAGTTTACAAACTGAAACCAAACCATAGCTCGAACCTTGCTCGAAATAAAAGATTATGTTTCTAATGTAGAATACATAGATAACTTTAACCATTAATGATTTATTTGAATAATTTTTCAACCACCATTATGACAAATAATGAAAGAAAGTTCAAATGCAAACTGTATCGTTTTGAGATGCCGCCGTAATCCATTTATGACAAAAAATATTTGAATGCACGATCTTAAACCGATGATGACAATTATATTGATATATCATAAATGGATTGGAAATCATCTACATTGTACCTAGGTAACATTTCATTATTAGTGATTATTTGTATCTTATGCAGTTTCTACAAATGTTTCATTGAATAAAGTATCATATTTGTTTTTTATGTATATAAGATGTTTGTTTCAAAGATTTTGAATTTCAAAGATATACACTGATTCCTAATTTTAATAAATGTAGTAAATTATCAGAATTATACAGTATGCATCAGTAAATATATCATAGATGGATTGGAAATCATCTACTAATTTAACAATACATTTTTTTAGTGAATATCTTTATCATATATATGGCTGCTACTAAAGTTTCACTGGATGAAGTGTTATTAAAGAGATATTGTCTTCTACAAACAATTTAGTTTAAAATCTTAAAATGTTTTGTCTCATCTCACTATGCTACAAAAATTCAAAATTTAATTTAATTAAAAATGCTTTAAAGACTATATTGTAATAACAACATAAATTAATGAAATAGTAAGTAATGAACAGTAATTAAGCTCAAAAGTCCATTGAAACAATACCAATCGGAAGCAGAGGAAAAACGGACCTCTAAAAATATTAGAGGAGGGATCAGGTGCCATGGAGGAGTAAGCATCCCCTATTGACCTTTAAACCCCAGTCACATATCCAAAAACGACCAACGGCCGACGGATTTTGAGGCAAAAAATGTGATTCTTCGACAACAACCGGCAGATCATCTGCTGTTGTCTTGCCCGATTTTGACCTCTTTTTTGTCGCCGAGCAATTTTGTGTCCGTCGTGCCCAGTTAATTTTTTTTTTCTGCGTATTACTTTAGCTGAAGCAGTTATGGAATCGTCCATCGACCAACCCTAGATCATAGTATTATTTCGTGCCAATGTCTACCGTGACATGGAACCTCGGATTTTAAGGTCTCATTTGTAGGACCTGCGAGTTTCATTTCCTTCATCGAGAGGTTGGTGAGGAAACAATATCGTACTATGTTTACGTCTAAGGTTTGAATCGGAACGAGTATCGAACTTGTGCCTCCTGATCACAACACGAACGCCCTACCACTAGCCTAGCTTGATCTGTACAATGTTTATGGGATCCCTTTAAGGTGATTTGTGAAAACTGTCTCCGTCTATTAAAACTTGGTAAATACAATTTTGAAATAACTCTTATGTTTTAACGAAAAAAAAAAATCCAAGCAAGCAACAAACACAAGACAAGAAAATCAACCAACAGATACTTTTTTTCAATGCATTCAAGTAATTTTTCTTTGCTATATTCACAAGAATTGTAAGAAGCTGGTAGTGTTAGTTTGTTTTTATCAATAGTCAAACACACAAAGGACAACAATGTACATTTGCTTGTTTCACTCCATTTTGGGGATAGGGGAGTGGCGGGTATACATCCATCTGATAATTATTATTATAGTTAGATCTCATGAACCACATACAATATCACTGTACTCTGGAGTCAGTCTACTTAAATTCACATCTGTAGGCTGTAGCTGTAGGTACAGTAGCAAAATCGTGAAATGTTAATTACGGATCATCGTTAAAAAAATATAACGTAGAGCACCTGTTCAAGTCACGTGATTCGCGTTCGCCGACAAGTATATAAAGTATGCTTATCAATACAATTTTAAACAGCAATTATGGAACGTTTAATCTTACTTGGCTTGACATTGACTATTGTAATCGTAAGTAAATATTGTTTTTATTCCTTAAAGTATTTCCCCAAGCTTAATAAGAGTAAAGTTAGCAATTAAAAACACAGTATCGTTTGTTTTTATCCTCCGGAATCAACATGTATAATTCAGTATAACGAGTATAATTTATATCCAAAAGAGATTCTTTCTATACCACTGTTTTTTTGTTTTGTTTTTTTTTCCACCGTTTATCGATGAACAACGCTTTAGTGCATCCTCTTCACTTCTACAACTACCTTTTGTTAAAATTAGATTTAAAAAGAAAGATACATTCATAAGAAGCCTTTGTCTATAACATTGAAGCAAGAAACATCAAACATAAAGAAACTCAACTATATTTTGATAACAAATCATGCTTTACTCTTAGGTCACTGTTTTGCGCTCACCTCCAACAAACTGTCTTTAACAATATAAAAACATACATAAGATGTGAGTTCTATTAAGGAGATTTTATAAATATTTTAGCAGACATAACTACTAGTTATATAATACGCCAAAATGAGGGATGACAGTTTGACAATTTTTCTTTTGTGTTTAAAAGAAAATATACATGTAAGTAATTTATTTCATTTTTAAAGGTTCAAGAGGAAATAACCCAATACTTTTCATGTAATTTTTTGCTCAAGGAAAAAGTATTAACTTCAAGCTAACCCTTTTAATATGTGTTCAGATAAGGAAAACTCATACAAATCAATTTTATGAAATTCTTTTTAGATTTGAAAGGAATTAATTTTAAGTGTTTTACGCTTTTTATTCAATACATATGGTGAGACGTAAAAAATAGTTAGAAAAGAAGAGTAGAAACAGATCCATTGTATGACACGTCTTTTACTGTATTAAAACATAGAAAGTGACATGATCTTATCTATTGATTTCAGAAAACTACCTATGTTCAAACTTAAAATCGGTAAAAATATACCCGACATTTCTTATACTAACACTTAATCTGATCTAACGAGATGAGGTAACTTGTTTATCGTAAAAAAAAGACTTATAAAAATATACCCGGCATTTCTTATATAAACACTTAATCTGATCCAACGAGATGACCTAACTTGTTTATCGTTTAAAACAACCTATACACTAATTCAACTTTTATTCATTGAAACCTTCCCGATTCTTCCTATATTAACTGTCTTTCTGGTATAAAATGCACATTGTATATGGTATAAGCAGTAATAGATAAATAAGCATGTTTAAGTCCCTGAGTGACAGTTTCAATTAAAATAATATAATTTCATATACAAGTGTTTAAAGAGTCATATTTCTTTTTTGGAAAAATAAAACTTTAAATTTCACTGTTATGGTAGATAATAAACTGCAGAAATCGATTAGATTTTATATGCCATCTTTTGTTTTCGTATAAAAAGTGAGTACACAATAAAAAGCAAACGGTACAAAAATGAATTTATGAACTTAGTATCTATTTATTTTAATTACGCCATCACTTTCTAGGCTGCAGTTATCGGACAAGGATATCGTCCTCCACCTCCAGGTAGGCAATAATACATGTACGCATGCCTGTTACAATAAAATGCATAATTGGTAATGCTGTCTACTAAAACAAAAATCGACGCTATTCAGGGAAATACAGTTAAACTCAGCTGTGACGACTTTCTAGAAAAAGATCAAATATATACTCTATTATGTCTTGAGTATAATGCTAAACTAACACATTATTATACCTACCTTATTTCTTATTATAGTTAGATCTCATGAACCACATATAATATCACTGTACTCTGGAGTCAGTCTACTTAAATTCACATCTGTAGGCTGTAGCTGTAGGTACAGTAGCAAAATCGTGAAATGTTAATTACGGATCATCGTTAAAAAATATAACGTAGAGCACCTGTTCAAGTCACGTGATTCGCGTTCGCCGACAAGTATATAAAGTATGCTTATCAATACAATTTTAAACAGCAATTATGGAACGTTTAATCTTACTTGGCTTGACATTGACTATTGTAATCGTAAGTAAATATTGTTTTTATTCCTTAAAGTATTTCCCCAAGCTTAATAAGAGTAAAGTTAGCAATTAAAAACACAGTATCGTTTGTTTTTATCCTCCGGAATCAACGTGTATAATTCAGTATAACGAGTATAATTTATATCCAAAAGAGATTCTTTCTATACCACTGTTTTTTTTTTTTTTTTTTTTTTTTTTTTTTTTTTTTTTTTTTCACCGTTTATCGATGAACAACGCTTTAGTGCATCCTCTTCACTTCTACAACTACCTTTTGTTAAAATTAGATTTAAAAAGAAAGATACATTCATAAGAAGCCTTTGTCTATAACATTGAAGCAAGAAACATCAAACATAAAGAAACTCAACTATATTTTAATAACAAATCATCCTTTACCCTTAGGTAATTGTTTTCCGCTCACCTCCAACAAACTGTCTTTAACAATATAAAAACATACATAAGATGTGAGTTCTATTAAGGACATTTTATAAATATTTTAGCAGACATAACTACTAGTTATATAATACGCCAAAATGAGGGATGAAAGTTTGACAATTTTTTTTGTGTTTAAAAGAAAATATACATGTAAGTAATTTATTTCATTTTTAAAGGTTCAAGAGGAAATGACCCAATACTTTTCATGTAATTTTTTGCTCAAGGAAAAAGAATTAACTTCAAGCTAACCCGTTTAATATGTATTCAGATAAGGAAAACTCATACAAATCAATTTTATGAAGTTCTTTTTAGATTTGAAAGGTATTATTTTTAAGTGTTTTACGCTTTTTATTCAATACATATAGTGAGACGTAAAAAAATAGTTAGAAAAGAAGAGTAGAAACCGATCCATTGTATGACACGTCTTTTACTGTATTAAAAAATAGAAAGTGACATAATCTTATCTATTGATTTCAGAAAACTACCTATGTTCAAACTTAAAATCGGTAAAAATATACCCGACATTTCTTATACTAACACTTAATCTGATCTAACAAGATGAGGTAACTTGTTTATCGTAAAAAAAGACTTATAAAAATATACCCGGCATTTCTTATATAAACACTTAATCTGATCCAACGAGATGACCTAACTTGTTTATCGTTTAAAACGACCTATACACTAATTCAACTTTTATTCATTGAAACCTTCCCGATTCTTCCTATGTTAACTGTCTTTCTGGTGTAAAATGCACATTGTAAATGGTATAAGCAGTAATAGATAAATAAGCATGTTTAAGTCCCTGAGTGACAGTTTAAATTAGAATAATATAATTTCATATACAAGTGTTTAAAGAGTCATATTTCTTTTTTGGAAAAAATAAAACTTTAAATTTCACTGTTATGGTAGATAATAAACTGCAGAAATCGATTAGATTTTATATGCCATCTTTTTTTTTTTTTTTTTTTTTACTTATATGATGATTTGGTCTGAACTTCTACTTAGATTTTTTTGGAAGGGGGGGGGGGGTTCAGACATCCTAACTTACGGTCATCCTAACTTACGGTCAAAGCTTCTGAGTCAATTTTCATTTCCTTGTACAAAAATGTCACCTTTCTATAGATGTAAAGAATATTTTTGGGGTATTGTTTTCGTATAAAAAGTGAGTACACATTTGTATCAAAGCAAACGGTACAAAAATGAATTTATGAACTTAGTATCTATTTATTTTAAATTACGCCATCACTTTCTAGGCTGCAGTTATCGGACAAGGATATCATCCTCCACCTCCAGGTAGGCAATAGTACATGTACGCATGCCTGTTACAATAAAATGCATAATTGGTAATGCTGTCTACTAAAACAAAAATCGACACTATCCAGGGAAATACAGTTAAACTCAGCTGTGACGACTTTCTAGAAAAAGATCAAATATATACTCTATTATGTCTTGAGTATAATACTAAACTAACACATTATTATACCTACCTTTTTTGGAGATTGTATATTCACAAAGAAATATGATCTGTTCAATTAGTAATAATTTGACAAACTTGATACATATTATAAAAAAAATGAACGAAATGTAATTTATTATAATTCATTTTTCTTGTCAATTTAGGAAAGTCAATCTGTAGTTTACCTGCGGAACCCGGTTTGTGCAGAGGCTACTGTCCCCGGTATTATCACGACACTAAAACGGGCACCTGCCGTGAGTTTATCTACGGATGCTGTGGAGGAAATGCAAACAATTTTCGAACTAAAGAACTCTGCAATCGGGTTTGCAGGAACAAATGTAAGCAGACAATCTTTATTATGTATTTACTTTTTTTAAGTTGATAAGGGTCACCACCGTGGCGAAGTGGTTAGAGCGTCTGATCTAGAATCGCGGAGTAAGGGGTTGATCCTAGCGTCGCGGGTTCAAATCCAATGTGTGACGTGAAAAGTGGTCCTTCGGGTGAAATCATATAAATGGAGATCAAATTGTGGCGTCTCAATATAAGTGAAATTTTTTCCAAGGCACGTTAAACAAGCAAATAAACAATTTTTTTAAAAAAAAAATTTAACAAAAGAATGGAATTTTTTTTGGTGTAATAGAAAAAAAGTGAGACCATCATACAATAGACAATAGAGATCTACAAGTAAGCAGTTTTATACTGTAGATTCCTTATTTTTTCGCGAGTACTTATATTCGCGAAATGACTCCTTGACGTCAAATCGCGAGAACAATAATTCGCGAGTGGACGCGAGTGGACGGTTGATCAAGGGATTTTACATTGATTTCAGCGCCATAAAAATAAAAGCGAGTAATTTTATTATGCGAGTGGTGCTTCTCGCGTAATTACGCGATAATTAATTCCTGGTGTATATTTAGGAATCTACAGTACTTTATATAATCGTAAACGGCATATGCGTTAGACATATACAGAACCATAAGTCCTAATGTACTGTATAGCCATCAACCGCACAGGTTTATTTTTGCGAAAGAAAGAAATGTCGCGGCTCAAATAAGATTAAAGACATCAACAAATGATAATATCTTCATATTTTTAATTGAACTTCAATGTTTTTTTTTCAAATTTGGTTTTTTACAGCCTGTTTGAATGCTTATTCCGTTAAACTAGTCTAATCTGATACACATTTGAAGGCGGCGAATTTCGAGGTTATTGAATAAAGAATATTGAATATTGAATATTGGACTTAGCTACAATGTAAGTCGAAATGAGAATATTGGTTAAATGTCTAAGCTCAACCATGTGCTTGGTTGTTATACAGCTTTTACTTGACTTGTTTTAGTCTGTTCAAGGATAGGGTGTCTTAATAGAGCCTGTACTACCGAAACCTGTCCAGCCTTTCCCCGGGCCACCTGTGTGTGAGTACAATCTAAACTGCTTATTTAGCTGATTTATGCATTTTGCCATCTTTAAATGAAGGAAACTAATAAATAAATGTGCTTTTTCCGTGATTCAGTGAAATTTGTTGTCTCGTTTCTTTGGACAATTCAAAAGACATATTTTTGTTACATCTTATACTGTACAACTCAGTACGTGATTGATCAAAAATGTTTTTTCCGAGAACATGTACAACTTTGACAACATTTTTTTCAAAGATCATATTTATTTTTAGGCAAAAGCAGGTAGTCTTCTCTGTTTATAATAAAAGACTGCAACACAATGATTTGCATAACTACTTCCAAATAGGTTAATAGAGCGTGTTTGACAAAACGAAAAATAAATCATTTCGTTTTTTTAATTAGAAATCCTTTGGGAATATACTCTTAGAATTTCAATAAATAATAAAACAGTAAAAGAGATGATTTTTTTTTTATTCAACAATATATCGATTTCATTATTATTATATAAAGACGAAATGGAAAGCAAATGAATATCAAAATAAAAAAAAAAAACACATGTCAACAAAAGGCCCATGGGCCACATCGCTCACCTGAGCACCTTGGCTAAGAAAAAAGCAAAAATCAGTTCAGTATTGAAAAGTTTACGGGGGCGGGGGGGGGGGTTGAATTTTAAACTACCTGATGATGCTTTCATATCAATATAACAAATGGCTTTGCTGTTCTTGAGCAGAAGATTTTTTACCCATATATTCATTTGTAAAAATTTGATCCCCCATTGTGGCCCCACCCTACCCCCGGGGGCCCTCATTTGAACAAATTTCATTCTACACTACCCAAGGATGCCTCCATATCAATTTGACTAATCATGGCTTTTCTGTTATTGAGAAAAAGATTTTTTTCTAAATATTCCTCTGTAAACTTTGATCTCCCATTGTGGCCCCACCTCACCTCCCGGGGTCATGATTTAAACAAAATTGAATCTACACTATCTGATGATGCTTCCATAGAAATATGACCAGTCATGGATTTGTTGATCTTGAGAAAAAGATTTTTTTCTATATACTCTTATGAAAAACTTTGATCCCCCATTGTGGCCCCATCCTATCCCCGGGGGGTTGGGGGTTGGGGGTGTCATAACTTGAACAAACTTGAATCTACTACATGAGGATGCTTCCATATAAATATGACCAATCATGGCTTTGCTGTTCTTAAGAAGAAGGTTTTTAAAAGATTTTTTCCTACATATTTCTATGTAAAACTTTGATCCCCCATTGTGGCCCCACCCTACCCCTGGGGTCAAGATTTGAACAAATTTGAATCTACACTACCTGAGGATGCTTCCATATAAATATGACCAATCATGGCTTTGCTGTTCTTAAGAAGAAGATTTTTAAAGATATTTTCCTATATTTCTCTATGTAAAACTTTGATCCCCCATTGTGGCCCCACCCTACCCCCGGGGGTCATGATTTGAACAAATTTGAATCTACACTACCAAAGGATGCTTCCATTTAAATATGACCAATCATGGCTTTGCTGTTCTTAAGAAGAAGATTTTTAAAGATATTTTCCAATATATTTCTATGTAAAACTTTGATCCCCCATTGTGGCCCCACCCTACCCCCGGGGGTAATGAATTGAACAAAATTGAATCTACACTACCTGAGGATGTTTTCACATACGTTTCATCTTTCCTGGCCCAGTGGTTCTTGAGAAGAAGATTTTTAAATGATGCCATTTTTTTTCACTAATTCCTAATTATGTCCTCTTGAAAGAGCGCGTGGCCCTTCATTTGAAAAAAAATTAATCCCCTTCATCCAAAGATACTTTGTGGCAAGTTTGGTTGAATTTGGCCCAGTGGTTGTTGAGAAGAAGTCAAAAATGTGAAAAGTTTACAGACAGACAGACGCCGGACAAAATGTGATCAGAAAAGCTCACTTGAGCCTTCGGCTCAGGTGAGCTAAAAACAAAATAAAACAGATTACACGTGGCTATCAATGTTTCAGTACTGATCATATTTTAGGATATTTAATACAGTGATGATCTATGGTATTCACAAGTGCATTTTGCAAATACCTATAAAAAGTAATCTTTTATTTATTTCTGCTTTTTGCTTATTTACCTATATAATTTACAATACAGTTTTTTTCTTAACAGAGCTGTTTGTCCTTGTATGTCTGTTTGGATATATGACGGAGAGGATGTCACTGACAAGTGTAATAACAAAGGCTAATCAACTCACAGAAGAACATGGCACAAAATTGGACATATACCGATTTAAAAACTATTTTTGTAATTACTCCTGTGCTACGAAAATAAACAATTTAAAAGAAATAACGAAAATGCAATAATTTTAATCAAATATTTTGTGATTTGAAAAGCATATACAACATTTTCACATCTATTTTAAAACGGATATACACGTTCTATTTTCATGATATCTCCGAAAGAAATTTGTGTCATCTTTGGATATTCTATTCTTTTTTATACAGTACAATACATTTCTAACAAGCATCTATATCTGCCAAGAATATTATATTTATGTTAATGTTTTATTATTGGATCTTGTATCTTGATTAATATTTCAATTCTTTTATTTTCTTACGTTCGTTGTGAAACCAGGATGCTGCAAGATAAGATCAGTTGTATATGATCTATAATAGGAGATATCGAGATAATCGAATGGTCAGTTGCCGAGCTCGGCTAGTCAAGCACATATAGATGTCCATTTTTGTATCTTACCGAATCCGAATAATAACATGTACTAGATCTTTCACGTTCTCTAGCTTTTTAGTTTGCTTACATTTAAAATATATAATGTTGGAATTTTCATGCAAAATTTCTTAAGATAACTTTATAAGGATTATAAAAAAAAATTGTTGAGAAAATTCAATAGCTCAGTGTATTTTGTAAACTAGGCAGTTGTGAAAACATTGACGTGATATTCTGTGGTACATCAGGGGTTATGTTGCATGGTTTCTCCCTTGTAAAAAGAAGTGTTTTGATGTTTAGACAGATGCAAAACATCAAAAACTCTTCTGATACCATGTGAAAAAAAGACAAATCTCTTGACAGGAAATGAAATATCTCTGGCATTCCAAGTACATGTACAGGTAACGCCTATAGAGATAGTAAAGTTATGCATCAAAATTGGCACCGTATAAGATTTACATTATGGCCCCTGGGTCGAGGCCTCCGCTGGTGGGCTGTTCAGTCCCTGAGCGTCTCTACAGCCCAGTAGCTAAGTACTTCGGTACTAGCTTTAAAATACGAATATACATTTCATTACTGTGGTAGAATTTTGAAATTTATTTCAAAATTAAGGAAAAATTCCCTCATGCATTTTGTTTAGATACAAGTATTTCCGATTTCCAACGTTTCGGCATGAACATCACTGAAGAGACATAATTTGTGGAAATGCGCATCTGGTGCATCAAAATCGAAACCGTATAAAATTTACATTCACCATCAAAAGAGTCCATAATTGTATAACATTACATCTTTTTTTTGTAATTGAAAATAATAGAATATCTTTCGCCTCGGTCAAAATTTATGTTTTTGGTCAATGGCAAATAACATTAAGTACATTAATTTAAAAAAAAAAATGAATAACTTTACATCAGTATAAAACAGTGAAGCAGCCTTCAGCGAAGTCAGAAACAGGGCAAAGTCGAGACAAAGTGAAACAGATTGAATTAATCAGGTGCCTTCCAGGATATTTCATAAAGAGGTAATATATATTAAATTAAAATAAAGGCCCAGTATTTGATTCTATTTGAATGGAGACAAAAAGTAAAAATGGAACATTGTTGTTTTCACTTATGAAATGATATACGGCATACCGAATAGCGAGTTTATTTTAGCGCGGTGCTTATATTGGCTTATTTTGGCGTTTTGATAGTAGTCCGCTTAAATTTTAATCGCTAAAATATTCAGTGTTCTTCTTAGTGCTAATTTGCAAAGATTTAGAACCCTGTGCCCGCGAAAATAAATTACGCCAAAATTATTGGCATACCTTTAGCCAAGCGAAACGCCAAATTTTACCCGCTATACGGTAATTTAGAATGTGTGGATTAGTTTATATTCATTTATGGCATATTTGTATCATTATTCAACAACAGTGCTGCAAATAATGATATATACTTCAATTATGATACTTAATGATATCAATTACAGATGGCGACGTCAATCAATTTATGATTTAAAATATTGCCTAAAGACGCACATTTAACAACCGATAATAAACACTTTATGGATATATCATAAATAGATTAAAAATCATCTACTACTGAATAACTAAAGTCGCCCGCGTGGCACAGTGGTTAGAGCGCTTGCTCTAGAGTCGCGAAGTAAGGAGTTGATCCTTACGTCGCGGGTTCGAATCCCACTGTGGGACGTGGAGACCTGTCCTTCGGGTGAGACCATATAAACCGAGGTCCCGTGTAGCAGTAGGTGCTGGCACGAAAAAGATCCCACACTGTTCAATGGCCTTGGGTGCCAAGTATGGGTCATTTGCAGCTCTATACCTGCAAGTGGTGGCGTCTCCATATGAGTTAAAATTCTCGAAAGGGACGTTAAACAACAAACAAACGTGAACGGGCACAAGACAGTAGAATTAAAAAAAATGCAGTGAAAAACGTTTAAGAATTTTAATACCATTCGAAACAGATCACAGGATTTTTTTTTTTTTTTTTTTTTTTTTTTTTTTTTTTTTTTTTTTTGCTGAAATAAAAACGTAATAATTAAAAATAAAAGAAATAAAGAAATTATACATTTATTGCATGATCGTGAGGGAAATATGAAGATTTATTCAGCCAAGAAAATCATATTCCCCGAGGGCTTCCCTCGAGAAGAATATTATATTTCTTGGCTGAATGAATCTTCATTTTTCCCAAACATTCATGCAATAAATTGTTTATTATACCGAAACAAGCAAAAAATTGACATAAACTTTCAAATTTGGCACCGCTCTTAAATTCACTTTCAATTTTAACGAAGTGTTAATGAAACAATTTACAGAAGTCCATCAGCAATTTTGTGACGTGCACTAAGCTATTGTGACTTCTTCTACTCTCGGGAGTTTTCTTTCAACGAACGATAACTATTGCAGGAAAATGCAGCTGGTCTCCGAAGACGTTGAATATGATAAAAAGCATGACGACGGCAGGGAAATATGAAGTTTTATAGCCCTGTCACGTCATAATCTAGAACCAATCATATAACGCGTTATATAGAATAATAATAATGAGACTTAATGATATCATTTGCGTCAATGCAGAGAGAAAATTATTTCATAGTGCTATTTTTTTTTATATTCTGCATTCTTTTTTTTTCTTTTTTTTTTTCTTTTTTTTCTTTTTTTTTTTTTTTGGTTTGATTCCGCGACGTAAGGATCACCTCCTTACTCCACAACTATAAAGCAGGCGCTCTACCACTGCGCCACGCACGCGACCTGACTGGTTAATGCTCCTTTATTAAAAAAAAAATAACAATGATATTTTTCCAAACTAAAAAGAGATTTGACAGCAGGAAAAAAATGCCTCCTTAGTCTACTCCCTTAATCATTTTTGTTTATCAGTATTATTTATTCAATCAATCATAAAAATGAACGATACTGTTGATCTTTTTTTTTTTTTTTTTTTTTTTTTTTTATCAAGTAATGATAATAATTAAAAATAATCTGCAATACTTTACAACACAGTAGAAATTAAAAAGGGCACCGTTATAAAACAGAACCGTTTTGTGAACATACTTTGGTGCTAAATCCGAAAGTAAATGGTTCATCTTACTACATAACTAACATTTCGAAAATAATATTCATGATATATTCAGTTAATTTAGGTCCGTACTCGAATGACATCATCAGTAGTAATAATTTAGTTTACAATGGATTGAAAATGTATAATGATGATAATTAGAGAATAATAGAATTATTATAGATATTGCTTTAATCATTTTGCATCATTTTGCATGAGAGGTATAGGAATCAAATGTGTATAAGACAATCATTAAGACTTTGGAGTCAACAAAGAGAAAGACTCTTTCTTTCACCAAAAAAAAAAAAAAACAAAACAAAACAAAACAAAACAAAAAAAAACAAAAAAACAAACAAAACAAAACAAAACAAAAAACATTAAAATCAACAAAAAGACTGTAGTCGACCTAATCCTGATAAACCAAGCCGGAAGGTTTAACCATCTTCCAAAAAAGGCCTGTATTTAACTGAAAGTAAAAAAAAAAACACATGTTATTAAATCGTTTATCAACGTAACTGATAAAGGACATTTTACTCAAGAAATCAATAAAGAAGAAAAATAACTGTAGAATATGAACTTTGATTTTATAGATTAACAAGGCAAGGGAGTGAGCATCCCCTGCCATCCGTGTGCTCTTTGTCATGATCGGAAAAACCGGAAATGTCCGTAGACAATTCAGTGCCTAAAGAATGGCTTAACTATTAGTATGAAAAGTCAGTCAGCATTTTACTTAATGATAAGTTTTCTTGCTGCGCAGCACTGTTAAGGCGTACTTCGAAGAAATCAACAGAATATAAACGTGTATAAATACATACCTTTTTAAAACGAATTTTGTAAAGGTACTATATTATCTTATGACTTTAACAGTCTTTGAAATAACATTGTATACCTCGCTCTGTACTGAATTTGGTTTAATCACGTTATTTGATAGTCACGTGATTAATGCATGTTAAGTGTACTGTATGTAGGTCACAAACAAATTTCAATATCGCAAGGGCATACCCTAGTTAAAATTAAAAATCAAAGTAATAGATTGTTTCTACATAACTTGTTGTTTATGGAAAGTGCTGCTGCTTTAAATAGAATTCGCATTTTATTAGTTTAAATTTCATGTTATCTTGCTAATGTCGAAATATGTGTGACCTTTACCAAGTATTTTATGTATTTATTAAGTTATGCTATCGATTTCAGGAAAGCAGCAGCACTTTTCAAGTTAAAGAATATGTCCATTATATGTATTTAAAAAATGGTCAAGATCTATTAAGTGTATGCCCTTGCGAAAAGGCGATTTAATGAGGCACCTCGGCGTGAAACATGCACACCCTGTAGACAAAAACACGGTAGAATTAATTCAATACATTCTCTCGATAGTTTTTAAATAATGACACTAAACAAATGTTTCAGATTTGTATTAAAGGTCTACCTAAGATTTTCAAATAATATTCTGTTTAATAATAAAATGCATTTTTCACTGTGAAAAAATTACTTGATCCGCCTCTCACTGCACATAAAATGCGTCAAACTTTACCATGATGACGTCATGAATCATTTCAATTTACTCT